AAGGATATTGCAAAACCTCTATACCCACCCAACTCTGGGGCGAGCCAGAGGTGGTATTTGCCAGTTCCCCCCGAACTACTCAAAATTTCTGCTACCAGTTCTCCAGAACCTACTGAATTTCACCCCTGTTACACCTGCATGGTAGCAGCCAGTGATCAAACTTACTTCAATTTTAAAAGTTAAATAGAGTTAATCATGATTAGGACTTTGATGACAAAACTTCCAGGAAAGTGCAAAGCTATAGGTTATGCTTGGAAATTGAAGAATCTCAGAAGGCCATAGCAAGTCACTTTTATATTACTGACAAGAATACTAAATGGATAGGTCCATAAAATCAACAGGAATCAAACTCAATTACAAAAGAGTTTATGCACACACACGCGCGCGCACACACAATCATCTGTGTATTATTGAATTTAGGTATATAGATTATATTATCTATTGTATTACAGTTTCTTCCATTCATAATTGACACAATCATTGGCATAATGATGGGTAATACAGAACAATTAATGTGAAGGTTCAGTGAGTATGAAGTGATATAAAACAGCTGTTCAATCCACAGCAACCTCATGGGCATAGAAGTGTTTCATTATCTGTTATTTTAATTGAATCAATTATGGCTACATTGACTTTTAATTTATCCTTCCACATCAATAGGTTTGCAGAAGTTAATAAAATACTTTACTTTCTGCTTTTACAGCTTATATTCTGTAAGTGGCATGAGAGATTCAGTTAAAGAAATGCTAATATATTTTTTAAAATGTGTACTATGAATACTAGCAGAATGAGGAAACAATTGTAATGTAGTTGAAATTATGGAACAATATTGTGCATTATAGAGGAGCATTACAAAACCTTTTTTTTCTTTTTTGCAGCATTAAAATTGCCCTTTGGCAAAACAACAGTGATGCATTTGGTGGCTAGAGAGACATTGCCAGAGCCAAATTCTCAAGGTAGGCTTAGCAAATTGCAACATATTTTAAAATTGGATTTGGATATGAAAATTGGGAAGAAAACAACTTTTGTTTGTTGTAAATATGTTACATTTATGATCAATCTAGTGTTTTCTTAGGTTCCTTTGAACTATTGAATTTAAATTCAGAATTGGACATTAATCTGAGACCAAAACTCATGGGTTGGGTTAGGTCATGGAGACTTGAACAATATTAGCTGTACACATTTGTTCTGTCCCTGCAGAATTTGGTTGGAAATAGTGTGATGAGAAAGGTGGTGAGGTAAGAGGTAAGGGTTGTCTGTTAAGCATTTATTGCTGCCAATCTGATGCATTATTTTTAATCTTTTTATTATTAGAAAACTAGTGCTCATAAACCTGCATTTTCTTTCTGAGTTTTGAAATGGGGATTTCAATTGTAAAAAAATCCATATCTTGTATGTGCATTAGGGAGAATGCTCAACCCAACTGTTAGATTAAAGTGAAGAGAGAGACAGCTTTTTTCTTCAAACAGGCTACAAAAGCGCTTAACTATTGTTTATGTTTATAGAAACAAACACACACATATCCATGTGACCTGTTGGCCAATTTTCAGTACATTGCTTGGTAGATAATAATCAGTGTGGTCTACCATCTAATCTACTTTTGTATTCCAAGAATAAAAAAACAAGACAACAGGAAACTTGTGACATTTCCCGTTGATTATTTTTATGGCTCTTATTCCATCAGAACATAGGCAATTCAAAATATTCCAGTGAATCTTTTGGGAAAATAGGATAGCAATTGTTTTCAGCCCATGTAAAACCCTATTACTAGCCTATTCAAGATTATAGTAATACTGTAAAGCTTTTATAATGCATATATGGTGTTTTGCATTAATTATCTTGAAAACATTTTGTTTATTTTTCTGTAGGGCAGAGAAATCGTGAAAAAACTGGAGAGAGCAATTGTTGTGTGATCCTGTAGAAGCGCCACTGTATCTGCTACTTGTGATGTAGAATAGTTTTTGTCTCTCATGCTGCAGGATTAGAGGAGACCAACATTGTTTCAAAAACCCTTTCTGCCTATCTGTGAATCCACTGAACTGAAATATTACATGAACCTGGTCACACTTTTTTTCTAGAACAATTAATACTTTTTTATTTCTACTCCTTATGTTGTTGAACAAGCTTATTAATGCATCATTTCGCCAATGAATTTTCTCTCCAAGAAAAAAAAAAATTAACTACTCTTCAGCAGAAATCATTTTGCTACCTTAAAATCATTCTTAACCGGAACTTTAACCAATCACGAATACTAGAGGCAATTTGCACTAAAACAGTTGACAATATATAGACCTCATCAACAAATGTTCTTAAGTATTTTCAACACCAAGAAATGAATCAGCACTGAAAAAAATCCATAGGTTTTTTTTTTCTTAAATTCAGTCATGGCCAATAGGAAGCAGGGAGATAGATGGACTGCAAAAAGAGTAACTACTAAGTAAATTCTACCTAAGTCACCCTTGATTACCAAGTGGCACAAAACACTAACTACTAAAATTGTCTATATATATAAAAAAAATCTCACTGCAACAAACTATGTGCCTGTAATTTTAAAGCACTCTGTAGAGGGCTCTTGCAACTTTTTTTTTAAATTGATGTGCACTCTTCTTTCGTACATTTGTTGAGTGCTTGTTTAGACAGCACAAATAAGTGCAGAGAGTGCATTTCCTAGCCTTAATATGGGAGGGGTAATTTCCTGTAGCTCATAGGCTTTTATTATTGTGCATAAATATTAAAGACCTCATTTACTAATCAATTTATGTCTTTAAATATCTACAATTGATGTTTTTCAGTCATCCTTATTCATCTGATCTTAGTGTCCAGTGTCATGCTTACTCAACAGTGACTTCAAAGAGATAATTAAAAGAAAAAGATAAAATAGAAAAAAATGCTAAATGATGAGTTCATTTGTTTGTTATTTGCATTTGATATTAGTGCTTGCAATTGTATTGGAAATCAAAAGCTGTTTTTTAAAAGCATACATAGTTACAAAGGATGCCATTATTTTATTTCATGTAATTTAAAAAAAGATATGCTAAAAAATTTGCACAGCACTAAAGCATGAGGTAGTTTCATCTAAACTTGTAAAAATTATATAAAGATTTTATATTTTTTCTACTAGGGAGAAATCTTCCTAGTTGAAAGTAAAAAATATGTAGAATATATTTAATTAAAAAAACTTATAAAAACATGGCTATAGAACTTAAGTATAGATTGGCGGGTAAAATAATACAATAAACTATATAAATAGATCTAGGCTTTTAAAGATGCAGACTGACATTGTGTTCTGTATTTGAGTCCATAGCCATTACAAACGTTCCGTGTTTTGAATGATCTTCATTTAAATGTAATCAGGTTACTTTATTCAATGTTACTGCTTTGAGAAAATGCTTTATATGCAGTAGGCCTACAAAGATATTGTTCATAATGATCAAAATTAAATTTGTATAGAGCAGAGTTTTAAACAAATTGTAAATAGCACTAAACATTTTCCTTCTGCAACCTGTACTGATAGATTCTTCTGTAAACTAAATAAAAGAAGAATATTGTAGTGTACCTGGTTATGATTTGAGGCGCTTGATCTGGCCTGCATCATTTTTAAATTAGTTCTATTGTAACAGAACTCTCCTAGTTCTCTTTTTAATCATTAAATTATTAGGTTTGGAATACCAGGAGTGATGTGAGTTTTACAATTTAGTTTGATTGTATTTGTCTCAGTTTTACCAGCCTTTTCTATGGAAGCTGAAATGATGCACATTTAAGTTTCCTCCTCCTTTTGGTTTCTATAACAAGCCATTATGATGTCAAACCAATATTATCATCACATCATTGTGCAAATAATGTAATGATGTACAGGGCGGGGCATAACCTTTTCCTAGGGGGTCACAGCAACACTTGTAATAACAACACAAATAATTCANCGGAAGGATGGAAGGCTGAGTCAACCTTGAGCCGGTGAGATTAGAACCGCTGAACTGCAGATAACAGTCAGCTGAAGTGGCCTGCAGTATTGCAGCCTAACCACTGCGCCACCTCGGCTCTTGAGGGCAGGACTATTCACCAGTTTTATTACTGATGCAGATTATTGCTTGGCAATTGGCACAACCCAAATTATGCTGACATACTTTTCTGTCCACTCGAGGATTGAAAGGATTCACGCTAAAGCTGCCACGTAGCGCATACAGAATTGCTGGCTAAACATGAGGTGGCTTCCACTCCTAGCAAACGTAGCAGGAATTATTCCTATTGCATTCAGTGAGGCTAGCTTTCAGTTTTGGCATAGTAATTTCAATTTCGTGATTTTTTTTTTAGCAGTATAAATCTTTTGATTTCAGGCCTACTTCCAAAATTTCATTTCCATGGAAAATCTAAAAAAGGACAGCGCTATCAATATATGAAGACTCTGTCACTATTGCTTGGGATTGCTTAGCTAATGCTTATTATTTTATTGTTTTTCTTTTTTTTATTATTATTTTCATGTTGTCTTTTTATGTCCTTGTAAGCCATCTTGAGTCGCCATGTGCGAGTAGGCGGCAATATAAATTTTCTAAATAGATAAATAATGTCCCAGTTTCACAGCAGCTATAATAGGCACACACAACTTCTGTCAATTGAAAGGCCACAGCAGATTTTGCCTGTTGCTTGGACCACGCTTTGAAAATATGCCTCGCTAGGTCAGTTTTAGGAGGGGATTTTTCCAGACCTTTCAACCAATCAAATGTCTGTGGTTGTGCTTGACAAGAGCACAGAAATTCTATAGAGCAGTTTCTCCCAATATGTCGTCCTTTAGAATTGTTAGGATTATTCTGCTAGGATGGTTCAACATTGCCTCCAGTAAAATGGTCTGGAAACTCTGAGCTGTCTTGCTCTTCTGCCTCTGAAGGAAACACTGTTGGTGTAAGTGCTGCATAAGCAGCAGATAGCAATAGCAATAGCAGTGGACTTATATACCGCTTCATAGGGCTTTCAGCCCTCTCTAAGCGGTTTACAGAGTCAGCATATTGCCCCCAACAA